GTTACTCCTTAATGGTTACAGAGTTTCTGTTTGGGATGATAAAGATGTATTGGAAATAGACAATGGTGATAGCTGCACAACATTGTGAATGTAACTAATGCCACTGAATTGTACCTTTAAAAATGGTTAAAATGGGCCGGGCGCGGTGGCTCACGCCTGTAATCCTAGCACTCTGGGAGGCCGAGGCGGGCGGATTGCTCGAGGTTGGGAGTTCGAAACCATCCTGAGCGAGACCCCGTCTCTACTAAAAAATAGAAAGAAATTAATTGACCAACTAAAAATATATATACAAAAAAATTAGCCGGGCATGGTGCGCATGCCTGTAGTCCCAGCTACTTGGGAGGCTGAGGCAGGGATCGCTTGAGCCCAGGAGTTTGAGGTTGCTGTGAGCTAGGCTGACGCCACGGCACTCACTCTAGCCTGGGCAACAAAGCGAGACTCTGTCTCAAAAAAAAAAAAAAAAGCCGGGCGCGGTGGCTCAAGCCTGTAATCCTAGCACTCTGGGAGGCCGAGGCGGGCGGATTGCTCGAGGTCAGGAGTTCGAACACCAGCCTGAGCAAGAGCAAGACCCGTCTCTACTATAAATAGAAAGAATTAATTGCCAACTAATATATATATATAAAATTAGCCGGGCGTGGTGGTGCATGCCTGTAGTCCCAGCTACTGGGAGCTGAGGCAGAAGGATTGCTTGAGCTCCAGAGTTGGAGGTTTGCTGTGAGCTAGGCTGACGCCACGGCACTCACTCTAGCCTGTGCAACAAGGTGAGACTCTGTCTCAAAAAAAAAAAAAAAAAAAATGGTTAAAATGGTAAATTTTAAACTAAGTGTATAAAACGATTGTATAATTTTGTATATGAGTCCTAAGTCTCTATGCCATGGTGCTAGGAATCAAATCACTGTCTTGGCTTTCCTCTTACTTCTCTGACTCTGTTCTATCTACATCATCTTTTCAGCCTTCTAGTCAGTCCTCTGCTCCTTTCTTAAATGTTTCTGACCCTCTAGCTCCTGTTTTGGCCATCTTCTTTCTCTATATCTCTATTTCTGTACTACTGCATTCAATTCTGTTTGGATGTTGATGACTCCCAAATCTGTATCTCTAGTCCATCTTTACTTCTGAGCTACAGAAGCATGCATCCAGCTATCTTGTTCCACAGCTCTGCCTCATACTAAATGTACCCCAAACAGATCTCTTGAGCTTCCTCTAGTCTTGCTTCCCTCAAGCTGCTTCTCCTTCCACACTTCCTATTTTGATGGATGGCCCACTGTCCACTTGGGTACCCAGACATTGTCTTTCTTTCCACCTGCCTCATGGTCCACATTCATGCAATTACTAAATCCTATGGATGCAGCTCCCAAAATACAGCTATATTTTCCCCGCTTTTCTCCATTCCTCCTGCCTTCACACTAGCTCATGTGTATGCTGGCTTGGATTTCTATAATAGCTTTCTAACTGGTTTCTTTTCTAACTCAGGATTTATTACCTGGGGTTCAAAGACTCCCCTTCCCCAGAGTATTTGTAGGTAGAATTCAGGGGGTTCATTAATTTTGTTGGGAAAAAATTTATATCTTTATTTTCACTAACCTATAACTGAAACTTAGTGTTCTCTTTTTATGAACATAAGCAATGAACCACAATAGTATTAGCAGCACCTGTAACTTTACTACCAATAGGAATTGTAAATCTTTCATATCTCATTGCAGTTGTTGCAAATATGTCAAAATACCATTTATACTCATTAGTTCTTTGAAATATGGTAGTTATTAAGAAGACCTGCTAGGGCCAGGCGCAGTGGCTCACGCCTGTAATCCTAGCACTCTGGGAGGCTGAGGCGGGCGATTGCTTGAGGTCAGGAGTTCAAAACCAGCCTGAGAAAGAGCGAGACCCCGTCTCAAAAAAATAAATAAATAAAAAAGATGGCTGGGAGCGGTGGCTCACGCCTGTAATCCTAGCACTCTGGGAGGCCCAGGTGGGCGGATTGCTCGAGGTCAGGAGTTTGAAACCACCCTGAGCAAGAGCGAGACCCCATCTCTACTATAAATACAAAGAAATTAATTGGCCAACTAATATATATAGAAAAAATTAGCCGGGCATGGTGGTGTATGCCTGTAGTCCCAGCTACTGGGAAGGCTGAGGCAGGAGGATTGCTTGAGCCCAGGAGTTTGAGGTTGCTGTGAGCTAGGCTGATGCCATGGCACTCACTCTAGCCTGGGCAACAAAGTGAGACTCTGTCTCAAAAAATAAATAAATAAATAAATAAAAATAAAAAAAATAAAAAAGACCTGCTAGATCTTCTAAATGTGTAAAGAAGCACATATAACACTCTTATACATTAAAAATATTTTGATAACTATTTAAAAATAATTGGTTTTGTTTGTAATCCTATGTGTTTTAATGGCTTTGAGATATAATTCACATGCCATATAATTCCCCCATTTAAAGTCTTATATAATTCAATGGTATAGTGTATAATTCAATTTTGTATAGTCAATAGTTGTGCAACCATCACAATCACATTTGTTTCATCACTCCAAAAAGAAACCCTGTACCTATTAGCAGTTAATTCCCATTTCCTGTCAACTTCACCTTCTCCCCCAAACTTAGGCAACCACTCATCTATTCTGTGTCTATGGACGTTTTGTATACATAGAATCATACAATATGTCGTCTTTTGTATCTGGCTTCTTTTCACTTAAGCATGTTTTCAAGGTTCACGCTGTGGCATGTATCAGTACTTCCTTCCTTTTTTTTTTTTTTGAGACAGAGTCTCGCTTTGTTGTCCAGGCTAGAGTGAGTGCCATGGCATCAGCCTAGCTCACAGCAACCTCAAACTCCTGGGCTCGAGCGATCCTTCTGCCTCAGCCTCCCGAGTAGCCGGGACTACAGGCATGCGCCACCATGCTCGGCTAATTTTTTATATATATATCAGTTGGCCAATTAATTTCTTTCTATTTATAGTAGAGATGGGGTCTCACTCTTGCTCAGGCTGGTTTTGAACTCCTGACCTTGAGCAATCCGCCCGCCTCGGCCTCCCAGAGAGCTAGGATTACAGGCGTGAGCCACTGCGCCCGGCCACTTCCTTCCTTTTTATGGTCTGATATTCCATTGCATGGATAAACCATATTTTACTTAGCCATCTTCATTTGATGGACATTTGTGTTGTTTCTACTTTTTGGCCATTATGAACAATGCTGCTATAAACATTCATGTGCAAGTTTTCATGTGAACATATATATTCAGTACTCTTGGGTCTATGTTTAACTTCTTGAGGAATTGCCAAACTGTTTTCTAAAGTGGCTGCACCATTTTATAAAATGTTAAATTCCAACATCAATGTATCTAATGTTCCAATTTCTCCACACTTACACTTGTTACTATCTTTTTGATAGCCTTCCTTGTGGATATGATGGGATATCTCCTATTGTGATTTGGACTTGCATTTCCCTAGCAACAAATGGCTAATGATGTTAAACATTCTTTTCATTTACTTCTTGTCCACTTGTATATCTTATGTGGAAAAATGTTTTGTCAGATCCATTGCCCGTTTTTCATTGGGTTATCTTTTTATTGTTAAGGTGTTGAAGTTCTTTATATTTTCTGGATATCACTGCATTATCAGATATGATCTGAAATATTTGTTCCCATTCTGTATGGGCTAAATTGTATCTTTCCACCCCCCAATTTATATGTTGAAGTCCTAACCCCTAGTTCCTCAGAATGTGACTGTATTTGGAGATACCTTTAAATAGATAATTACATTAAAACAAGGCCATTAGGGTGGGCCTTAATCTAATGGTCAACTGAATTTTAACAAGAGTATGAAGACCATTCAATGGTGGAAAGAATAGTCTTTTTGACGAATGGTCTTGAAACGACTAGATATCCACATGCAAAAACAATGAATTTTGACTCCTTCATACACAGAAATTAATTCAAAATGGATCACAGACCTAAATAAATATAAGAGCTAAAACTAGAAAACTTTTAGAGAAGAAAACATAGGAGTAAATTTCCATGACCTAAGTTAGTAGACTCCTTACACATGACACCAAAAGCACAAGTATGAAAGCTTTGTGTGTCCTTCTAGGAAGAGATTAGGACACACAACAAAATGCTAGGGGCCAGGCGCGGTGGCTCATGCCTGTAATCCTAGCACTCCGGGAAGCCGAGGTGGATGGATTATTTGAACTCAGGAGTTCAAGACCAGCCTGAGAAAAAGCGAGACCCCATCTCTACCAAAAATAGAAAAAATTAGCCCAGCACAGTGGCACATGTCTGTAGTCCCAGCTACTCAGGAGCCTGAGGCAGGAGGACTGCTTGAGCTCAGGAGTTTAAGGTTGCTGTGAGCTAGACTGACGCCATGGCATGCTAGCCCAGGCAACAGAGTCTCTGTCTCAAAAAAAAAAAAAAAAGAAAGAAAAAATGAAATGCTAGGAATGTAATGGCACAAAAGAAAGGCCATGTGAGGACACAGAGAAAAGGTAGCCATCTGCAAGCCAAGGGGAGGCCTCAGAAGAAAACAAACCTCCTGGGATCTTGATATTGGACTTCCAGCCTCCATAATTGTGAGAAAACAAATTTCTGTTGTTTAGGCCATCCAGTCTGTAGTATTTTGTTATGGAAGCCCCAGCAAACTAATTCACCATGTGTCATCTTTTCACTTTCTTGATAGTGTTCTTTGAAGCACAAATGTTTTTAATTTTGATGAAGTCCAATATATTTTGCTTTCGTATTTTGTACTGTATAGGAGCATTCCATTTATAGTATACTATCTTTCCCAACTGAGAAAAGTCTCAAATGCATTGTTCACCTAGATGACATATGGGCTATGAAGAATTATGAAATATTTCTTCGTAATGACAGGGAAAGTCCAGGTTTTACATTTATAAAATGGCCCAGAGTAGACTGAACAAATGCTAAGACAAATTTTCAAATACTGGCACACCAATGCTAAATTCATTCTCATTAGTATTAGAAGAAAATAAAAACAATACTTAATTTACTCTTTCATAAAGTTTTTAATAAGCTATCTTTTTCTTACATGTACACTAGTAATCTTAAAAAGACAAATATTTACTACCAAAAGTTAAATACTGTACAATTTATGAAAAATATACTTTAAAGGGAAGTACCTACTTCAAACGGATTAAATAAGCAAATTCTACTTTTTAAGAAATTTAACCAGAAAATGGGAAATTTCTAATTTGTCTAAGTGACACCAAAAACTTTTACTGAAGCCAGAAAACTATTTTAGTTCAAGCCTTCATCTACACAGCTTTAAATAAGCCTTAAAAAATATTTTCCAGTACATATAGGCTGTTAAAAAGAGTGCATGACTGGGAGAAAAAGGACTATGTTAGAATGCGAACTCCTGAAGAACAGAGATATATTTGATTCCTCTTTATATCCCTGGGTTCCTAGCATAATGCCTGGCTCAAAGTAAAATGCTTAAGCAATGTTTGTTGCTTTGAAGTGAACTAGGGCAAATACACATCGCTACCTTTGGTCCAGTTTTCACTCCATGTTAAGCACTACATTTGAAGTACCTGAGCTGCTCTTGGTTTTTGGCCTCTGACCTTAAATTGAAATTGAGTAAGGTAAGCCAATATGCATATACTTTCTACATCAGCCTTCTGACAGGATCCTCAGAACTGAATCATTACTGGGCTGTGAGTCTTCTCTTACGTGCTCTGAATCTTATTTTTTTGATAACAGTTAACATCAGTGTGCAAAAGTAATGCATTTTCAATGCAAGGTAAGTATGTTCATATGAATAAGAATGGAATAAAGGCCTTGTTTTCCCATGTTTTAAATAACAGATACATAGCATCTTAAATTATGACATAATTAATAATTTTTAGACACTGAACATAATACACTGTATTACAATGCAATGTGGTAATAAGCTTCCATTTTAGGAACAAAAATAAATTTCACATGAAAAAAAGATTTATTTTAATTCACATAAAATACATTTAGAATAAATCTAAATTTTTAGCATCAAAGTACTTAGAAACACAGACAAGTTTTAATATGAATTAAGTCTCCATTCTGTATAAAAAGCATATGCAAAAAGCTCTCTTACAATTATTGATCATCACCTCGTTGCCTTAAATTTCTAGATTTTCCATTTTCAATTCTTCTCTTTTTGAAGACTGGGGCCACTCCCTCTGCCATAACTCCAAGAGAAGTGACTGTTTTTTCTTTAAATACCACTTTGGGTTCCCCACCATCAGCGTCTGAAGTTGATACAGACTCATTTTCAGCACTTGGAAGTTCCAAATCTACCTCCTCACTGGAATAGAAAGTAAAAATAAAACGATTACTTGACAGAGTAAGAAACACTTTCATATAAACTGTCCCAAGGCCACCTTTCTAATAATAATAATGAGAAGTTAGAAGTTGCTCATTGTGGAGTGGAAACTATTTTATTTTATGTATGTATGTATGTCTGTCAGAGTCTCACTCTGTTGTCTAGAATAGAGTGCTGTGGCATCAGCCTAGCTCACAGCAACCTCCTGGGCTCAAGCGATCCTCCTGCCTCAGCCTCTCGAGTAGCTGGGACCACAGGCATGTGCTACTATGCCTGGGTAATTTTTTCTATATATTTTTAGGTGGCCAATTAATTTCTTTCTATTTTAGTAGAGACGGGGTCTCACTCTTGCTCGGGCTGGTTTTGAACTCCTAACTTGGAGTGATCTGCTCTCCTTGGCCTCCCAGAGTGCTAGGATTACATGCGTGAGCCACTGCGCCCAGCCTATTTTATTTTTTTTTTGAGAGAGTCTCACTCTGTTGCCCCGACTAGAGTGCTGTGGCATCAGCCTAGCTCACAGCAACCTCAAACCCCTGGGCTCAAGTGATCCTTCTGCCTCAGCCTCCCGAGTGGCTGGGACTACAGGCATGCGCCACCACACCCAGCTAATTTTTTCTAATTTTGGTAGAGATGGGGTCTCGCTTTTGCTCAGACTGGTCTCGAACAGTGAGACCTGAGCTCATATGATCTGCCCGCTTTGGCCTCCCCCAGAGTGCTAGGATTACAGGTGTGAGCCACCACGCCCAGGCGGAAACTATTTTAAAATACTAATTTTACAATATTAAGATACTGAGCACTTATTAGGTAGACACATGCCAGGAAGAGTCCTATCTATTTATTCCTGTTGCACAAAGGATGTATCGTCTAAGAAAATGTTATCCTTATACATGATAAGCAGTACCAGTAAATGGATATGGAAACTGATTTTGCTATGGACTGATGAACACTCTGGAGGCTTACATAATACAAGATAAAAAACATAGAATTAAAAAAAAAACAAAAAAAAAAAACATAGAATTAGGCCAGGCGTGGTGGCTCACACCTATAATCCCAGAATTTTGGGCGGCTGAAGTGGGAGGGATTGCTTGAGGCCACGAGTTTGAGACTAGCTTGGGCAACAAGTGAGACCCCATCTCCACAAAACAATTAGCTGGGTGTGGGGTGGTGCACACCTATAGTCCCAGCTACCTGGGAGGCTGAGGTGGGAGGACTGCTTAAGCCTAGGAGTTCAAGGTTGCAATGAGCTGTGATCATGCCAGTGCATTCCAGCTAGGGTGACAGTAGCAACAATGAATCCTGTAGAAATGCACTTTGCTCAGTAATACTTGAGTTGCTGCAATATTTCCTTATGCATTTGGTTGTTACAGAAAAATTATTAATTGAAATTGATGGTTGTTACCATAATAGTATATTGCCTGTATTTCTAGTCTAATAATGGGCTTTATGTGCTAGGTTTTAATATCCTTGAGCCTGGGCAAGTGCACAAGTCTCTTTAAACACAATTCACCTGCACAAAACTGGTTAGGTTTTTGAGATTGTTAATGCCCCTAAAGCGGTTTTTGTGGGTGTGACACAAATGGTAAGAATTTGAATAGGTTCCTATTATGGTTTTGAAATTATGTCTACTTAATTTATCAACTCATGTTCATGCCCTGATTTTATATACTTGTATCTATCTATCTATAAACACTGTGATACTTGGGGGGAAAAAGAAAGGAATTCTGCAGAAATAAGAGAAGCAAGTGGGTATGCAGAGAAAAGCTGAGCTGGGAGACAGAGAATCTGACCTGTTTTGAAAATAGATGCCTTCTAGAACTTTTAATTGTGCTAAAAATATATGCTCAATGCATTTTTATTTGCTTTTCCTACTTCTATATTTTCCCTTAGATTGCCAAGAATGGTGCTTTCTAAGAATGCCCCTTCAGCTGATGAGGTATTAATTCTTGGCTTTTTATTCTTATTTTAAGGAGACAAAACTGAGGCTTAGAGAGATCAATAACTTGGTGAAACCAAACTGTTCTGTAAGTGATGGAACTTATATTAAAACCCAGGCCTGTCTAACCTCAAACCTACATTCTTTTCCTACACCAATCTGCTTCCAGCCAAAACTAAGAAATGCAATTAGCCAAGCAGAGAATGACTTGAATAATGAAGAGCTTGAATAATGAAGACTTGAATAATCAAGAGACTTGAATAATGAAGAGGGTCTGATCATTGGACAAATGGATCTGTGTCCAAGAAATTTCTATGTGAGAATCATTTATTTCACTGAATCTCAGAAATGTGTCTTATATTTTGATACAGTGATCAAACCATCATATTACTTCTTAAGTGAGATTATAGCAGTGCTAAAAAATAAAGAAGGGTTTTATTTCTGAAATCATGGTTCCAGGGAAATTTCTTAGTCAAGGTTGAGAAAAGTGGCAGTGGCTGGGTGGGGTGGCTCACGCCTGTAATCCTAGCACTCTGGGAGGCCGAGGCGGGTAGATTGCTCGAGGTCAGGAGTTCAAAACCAGCCTGAGCAAGAGCGAGACCCCGTCTCTACTATAAATAGAAAGAAATTAATTGGCCAACTAATATATATAGAAAAAATTAGCCAGGCATGGTGGCACAGGCCTATAGTCCCAACTACTCAGGAGGCTGAGGCATAAGAATTGCTTGAGCCCAGGAGATTGAGATTGCTGTGAGCTAGGCTGACCCCAGGGCACTCACTCTAGTCTGGGCAACAAAGTGAGACTCTGTCTCAAACAAACAAAAAAAAAAAAAACAAAAAGAAAAGAAAAGTGCCAGTAAAGTAGGATATGCCCTTGTGAAGCAAAAAAAATTGTATTTGAAGGAAAAAAAGGCAAGAGCCTAGAAGCAAAGTATCCCAAATCTGGAATGCTCCAAAATCTGAAAACTTTTTGAGTGTTGATATGATGCTCACTGAACATTTTAGATTTCTGAATTTGGGATACTCAACTAGTAAGTATATATAATACAAATAACCTCAAATCCAAAGCCACTTCTGGTCCCAAGCATTTTGGATAAGGGAAACTCAACCTGTACAGACAATATGCCTTCTTTTCAAATATCTTTAGAACTGTTACAAAAAATAATGATGTAAGCACTTCCATAAAACCATAATCATTTCCAAATTCCAAATTCAAAAACTACAATGGTTATATCTGAACACAGTGCATTAAAAGTGGAAACAAACAAACAAAAAACTCCTACCTACCTAGAGATTTAAAAATAAGACATTATTCTGAAAACCCACCAAATTTGGAAGTAAGCAAAAACACAATATTAAACTATTTCAAAACCAATGAAATCAAGAAATGTTCATTCAGTTTACAGGCTATATAGGCAGAACTATATTTATAGACAAATTAATAGCTTTATTTACTTTCACTAGGAAAAACAAGAAGATTCAATAAAAAAATTCACCTAAAAAATTAACTGAGAAAAAATATAGGCATAGGCTTCCTATTTCCCCTTTAAAAAGTGACAAAGCAATAAGATGCAAGCTCAAAATGGAATCCCCCAAATATTCTCATGACAACAAAGTTTACAGACATAACTTATATATAATCATTATTTATTTTGTCTGATAATCAGACTACAACTCTTGCCAAGCTAACATGTCCTCATTCCTAGAAAAGGAACTAACTGACCTAAAACCTACATTCTTTCCCCTATACCAATCTGCTTCCAGCCAAAACTAAGAAATGAAGAGGTTCACTACTAGTCTCACATTTGAAGGTGTGATTAATGTGAACCCATCAGTGAGGTTTGAAGCCTAACAAAATTGATCCCTGGACAGATTCATCCCCCCCCTCCCTTATTGCTTTGTGGGAGGAAAGTAAAACCCAGCTAAACAGCAACAAACCACCCTAGAAGTCCTGCCCAGAATTTTCCTATTTTTTCTGTAAAGGAACAAGTTGGTAAACCTAAGTATGTTTGTATAAGAAATAAACACATGGGAAATGGGTTAAAAGAAAAAAGACAAGAATAGATACCTCCCTCAACTCCTGTCAATATTTTTTTTTTTTGAGACAGAGTCTTGCTTTGTTGCCCAGGCTAGAGTGAGTGCCATGGCGTCAGCCTCGCTCACAGCAACCTCAAACTCCTGGGCTCAAGCGATCCTCCTGCCTCAGCCTCCCAAGTAGCTGGGACTACAGGCATGCGCCACCATGCCCGGCTAGTTTTTTTCTATATATATTAGTTGGCCAATTAATTTCTTTCTATTTATAGTAGAGACGGGGTCTCACTCTTGCTCAGGCTGGTCTCGAACTCCTGACCTGGAGCAATCCGCCCGCCTCGGCCTCCCAGAGTGCTAGGATTACAGGCTTGAGCCACCGTGCCCGGCCTTCCTGTCAATATTTTAAGTATTCATTTAAAGAAAATGAGAACAAAAACAGAAAAAAACTAAGACAAGCTAGAGGAAAAAAATTCCAAAAATAAAAGTAGATATGAAGAAACAGAAAAATCAATTAATAAATGTAAATGTAATAAAACAGACAAATTCAAGAGCTGGCTCACTACGGAAAAAACAAAAAATCCTTTGGTAAATTTCTTAAAAACAAAAAAGAAAAAAAAACCCCAAATTTAAAAGGAAGATATAACAACTAATGGATAATTTAAACATACCGAAAGCTTAATTATCCTAATAGCTATACTGAATGCTACTATGTGACAGACACTGCACTATGCACTTGGAGTAGAAATGTTTCCTTTTAATTTTATTTTCTCTCTTCTAATGTCTCATTCCCTTTTTCTTAGCACTAGAATTGCTTTTATTGTTATTTTTTTCCCTTTTGGGAAACACCCCTTTTCAATCCATAAGTTTTGAGTTCAGTTCATGTCCATTCAGAATTCTAGTAGTTATCTCAGGAATGGGATCTGGGTATGTGATAAAACTTAAGACCAATTTGGGAACTGCCAATAAAGAAGCACCCTCTTTTGGCTGGGATCTCCAAATATAAGTATGAGATAAGCCTAAAGCTTTGCCATGAGGTAGGAAAAACCTGCCTGAGAAGGGGTCATCTCAGAGGAAGGCAAAGCAGACAATCAGAGACAGACACAGTAGCCGAAGATTTTATTCAAGCCCCTAGATCCAGCCACACTTGAAGCCACTGCACCCCTAGACATAAGAGAATTTCTGTCATTTGCAATCAAATGCTTTACCACTAAGCTATATTCCTGATTTCTGTCATTTGCAAATGAAAAGGGCACTGGAGTGGATTATATATAATTCTCACAACAAAACCAGTAAACCAAGAATAGTAATCTCCTATCAACTTTGGTTCTTGATAACTGCAATTTAGAGACAGCATGATTTTTATGTGTTTGCTAAGACTTAAAATTTAATATATGTTATTCAGTTCAATTATCTTAAACAAGAGTACATGATATTAATAAATTTTCTTCTCTGTCACACAGACTATAAAGAAAGGTCTATGGAAACAGTACTGAGAGATCTTTTTATGTTCCACCCTACACATTCATGGATAAAAATGCAGGCTTGGAAAAGTATGTCTGTAGAGGCACTGTAATAATTTGTAAAAATTTAGGAATAGTTAGAAAATTTGCTAGGATTGCAAAAACAAAATAAAAGAGGATATAAGGACAAAGATAAGATTTAAAGCCAGTAATGGACAGTTAAAAAACTTAAAGGAAAAAAAAAGGCCATTCTGCATAATGTAAAACTTGAACAATTTACCTTAGTAGATCATAATGCTATAACATTTACTCAAAAACTGATGAAGGGATGTACTGATATATATGGAAAAAAATTTTTCAATCTCATCAGTCAATCAAAAGAAAATTAAAATGAGATACTTTTTGCTAAACTAGAAAATACTTAAAGGCTCATTAATAATTAATTCTGGGAGGATCCAATGGGATAGGAACTTTCAGAAACAGCTGATGGAGTATGAATGGTATGCTCTTTCTAAAAAGCAATTGGACACTGTGTATCAAGATTTCAGAATACTCATGACTTTTTTCTACTTTTTTCTTTTACTCACTATGCCAACGAGGAAAAATGTTCATAACTTTTAAATAGGTATTCCATTTCTAGAAATAGTCAGAAATGTGCACAAAGATAAATATCCATACAATAATCAGGGTTCATTATAAAATCAGAAAATGGGCCAGGTCCGGTGGCTCAGGCCTATAATCACAGCATTCTGGGAGGCTGAGGTAGGAAGATTATTTGAGGTGAGGAGTTTGAAATCAGCCTGGGCAACACAGTGAGACCCCGTTTCTAAAAATAAAAATATTAAAAATTAGCCAGGCATGGTGGCACATGCCTGTAGTCCCAGCTACTTGGGAGGCTGAGGCAGGAGGATCCCTTGAGCCCAGGAGTTCAAGGTTACAGTGAGCTATGATTATGCCACAGCACTCCAGCCTGGGTGACAGAGCGAGACCCTGTGTCTTAGGAAAAAAAAAAAGAAAGAAAGAAAAGGAAAAAAAAGTCATATTTTGGTAGGAATTAAAACAATCATTAGGTTACTTTTTAAAGTAACTGTTAGTTTATATTTTAAAGTTTTAAAAAACATATTTAATTTGAAAAAATAAAAACCACTCTAGATATAAAAGAAATGAGCCACACTTTTAATAAGCACAGCATCCTTGAAATTAGTTATTGCAATTTATGGAAGCATTGGGATGTAAAATACTTGTAATAATAATAATGGGGATAAAGTTCCAGATACTTACTGAGACTCAACCTCTTGTTTAATTTCTTGCCATTCTCCATATGGGTTTGATTTTTTAAGGGTTTTGGGTTTTTCTTCATTTGAACCCAACGAATTCTGTTTTTGAATACTTTTTTCTTTCTGTGTTTCTGGGTCAGTTCCTTCATCACTATTTTTTTTTTCCTGAAACGTAAAAGTCAAGGAATAACACACTTGAAGCAAAACTACCACAACAAAAACAAAATTTCTTTAAGGCTTTTAAAAGTCTTGTTAGAAGGCCAGGCATGGTATCTCACGCCTATAATCCTAGTACTCTGGGAGGCCAAGGTGGGTGGATTGTTTGAGCTCAGGAGGTTGAGACCAGCCTTAGCAAGAGCGACACCCCGTCTCTACCAAAAATAGAAAAAATTAGCCTGGCATGGTGGCACATGCCTGTAGTTCCAGCTACTTGGGAGGCTGAGGCAGGAGGATCGCTTGAGCCCAGGAGTTTGAGGTTGCTGTGAGCTAGGCTGATGCCACAGCACTCTATTCCAGACAACAGAGTGAGACGCTGTCTCAAAAAAAAAAAAAAAAAAAAGGAATTTAAATTTGCAAATAACGCAGTAATTGTACATAGAACAACTTTAATGCTTGATTAGGTTTCTCATTATGTCTGAAATGCTGATGTACCATGACCAAGGTTCCCCAAAGCGCCTCACTTTTTAAAATAACACAAGCCTATTAATGTCATCAATTCTACAATTAAGGACATATAAACAGACCTCTTTTCTGCTTTCTTACTTATCCAACAGTGATGCCCTTTATATTGAACCCCTTTTCAATTTGATGCCATATCATCAGACCCTTCTACATTCATTATCTATAGATGTCAATAAACCATTTATCTAGTTGCTAAAATATACCTCTTGACTTTATTTCTACCTTCTACCAGAAGACTGAAGAAGGTCTAGTTCAACAGAGCTTCTTATAAATGGATAACCTTTTGTGAAGAGTAAATAAAAAACCTACCTTAAACTTTATTTTTGTTTTTTTTGTTTCTGTAGAGACCTCTTCTCCTTCTGCTTCCTGTTCCCGATTGGAATCAGAATCACTATGTGAATCTGATGATTTGGATTCTTCCAGGCTGCCAAGTGACTTTTCATTGACTTTACCAGTAGGCAGATCACCAGTGTGTGGAATGAAATCATCAGGTTTCTCCCATCTGGATTCTGCTCAACACATTTTAATAGTCATGTTATTTAGTTATCAATTCTACTCATACATAATTTCAACATAACACTTCGTATCACTTACAATTATTAATGACAATATTGCATTTATTTTACCACTTGATCAAGAAGATAGTAAAAGTTCCCAACCATCCTGTTCTTTTAACTTTCAGAAACTGATTTCAAACAACCTGGATATACTAGATGTATAAACTGTAGCTCAAATGGAATGAGAGACCTAAGAACTGGGTGATACTTCTAAAGAATCTCACAGTTAAACTGACACCAATTATAGGAAACACATTGATAATGAGCATTCATGAGATTTTCTGGAATTGATACTTAGTGATAAGATTTCACAAAGTGAAATCATATTGTGAAGGGTTGAATGAATATAAGTTGTCATTTTTACTGTGGGGGAGAGGGATGTTTCAATTGATTGAACTCTACTGCCATCCAGTGGTCCACAGGGCTTTTAGTAAAATGACAACATTTCTAATTACCTTGTAGTTATTCTGTATTTTTAGTTTAATAAAAGGGAGAAAGACTATACAATTTATTGTTCAACTGGGATAGTTTTAAGAGTGAAGGGGTCTGTTATTAATTACTATACTAGTTCAGGCATAAACCAAAATCATTCAGGGCAAATCAATATGTATAGTCCCTTAATTAATATAGGGTACTTGCTAGGGTTAATGTGAAATATCGCATTTCCTTATCTACATTGCACAGAATTAACAAAAGAACTTTCAAGAAATAATTTTTTTTTTTTTTTGAGACAGGGTCTCACTTTGTTGACCAAGCTAGAGTGCTATGGCATCAGCCCAGCTCACAGCAACCTTAAACTCCTGAGCTCAAGCAATCCTACTGCCTCAGCCTCCCGAGTAGCTGGGACTACAGGCATGTGCCACCATGCCCGGCTAATTTCTTCTATATATATATATTAGTTGGCCAATTAATTTCTTTCTATTTATAGTAGAGACGGGGTCTCGCTCTTGCTCAGGCTGGTTTCGAACTCCTGACCTCAAGCAATCCGCCCGCCTAGGCCTCTCAGAGTGCTAGTATTACACTATGGCTCAGGCGTGAGCCACCGCACCTGGCCCAAGAAATAAATTGTTAAGTGCCTACTATATGCCTGGCACTGTTTTAGGAAACTTTACAGACATATGACATTCATGACCTCACAAAACACATATGACTGCCCTATTTCACTGAAGAGTGAGTGACTTGACCACAAGCACATCACTGGGAAGGGAAGAAGCTGTGCGTTGAGCTCATATGTGTCTAACTCTAAAGCTATATTATATCACTATATTATACTATAAAGATTCAGAACTTCAATTGTCTTGGGATAGAAATATTGTTAGAATTGGGCAGGCTAGGTACTATGGAGAGTAGCAATTAAAAAAGAAAGCCTCTCCCAAAGTTACACCAATATTATAGCTACTCTCGTAAATTTAACTGCAGTAGAAACAAAGTACAATAACTTGAAGACCAGTTTTTTTTTTCTTTCATAATTTCCTTTTTTTTTTTATTTCGGCATATTATGGGGGTACAGATTTTAAGGTTTCAATAAATGCCATTTCTCCCCCTCCCCCCAAAAGTCTGAGTCTCCATCATGACCATCCCCTAGATGGTGCACATCTCACTCATTATGTATGTATATACCCGCCCCTCCCCCCTCCACCTGCCCAATACCCTATTACTGTAGTACCTATGTGTCCACTTAGGTGCTACTCAGTTAATACCAGTTTGCTGGAGAATATATCTGGTGCTTGTTTTTCCATTCTTGGGATACTTCACTTAGTAGTATGGGTTCCAGCTCTAACCAGGAAAATATGACAGATTGTGCTATATCACCATTGTTTCTTAGAGCTGAATAGTACTCCATGGTATACATATACCACATTTTATTAATCCATTCTTGGATTGATGGGCACTTGGGGCTGTTTCCACAGCCTTGCAATTATGAATTGTGCTGCTATAAACATTCGAGTGCAGGTGTCTTTTTTGTAGAGTGTTGAAGACCAGTTTTATGAAATTAAATTGGGTAAAATATTAATTTGAAAATTTTAGATAATAATTAGACAGTAATCAGGCATGCTTTATAAATATTTATAGAACTGAAACATTACATTAGTAAAAGTTGAAATTTAACAATTTCAGCCACTGCTGAAATAGCTTGTTTTGTCTTCGAAAAGGGCTGGATGTGATGGCTCATGCCTGTAATCCCAGCACTTTGGTAGGCTGAGGGCAGAACGACTGAGGCAAGGAGTTCAAGACTAGACTGGGCAAAAAATTAGCTGGGCATGGTGGCACATGCTTGTAATCTTAGCTATTTGGGAGGCTCAGGAAGGAAGATGGCTTGGGCTCAGGAGTTTGAGGCTGCAGTGAACTGTGACCACGCCACTGCACTGTTGCCTCAGCAACAGAGTGAGACCTTGTCTCCTAAAATAAAATGAAAAGGCAAGATGAACTTGATCTCTTGACCCTCAAAGATAATGATTATAGTTCTAAAATAATTATGATAAAAGCCAGTAATGTTAGAGAAAGCTAAAATGATTCTAAGTTTGTGAATACAGTATCAATTGAGAATAACAGTGCACAGCAAAATATATTACAAATATTTTTGCTCTTTCCTGTATTAATGTTTTTAAATTACAAAAAATAATACATGTTTGCTATAGAAACATGTTTATCATTAAAATTCCCAAGTTAAAATGATTCATCAGTAGGCTAATTAATAAGCAGGTACAATTTTAGATAATCAAAGGTAATACATACCTCCTGTTTCTGTATTATAATAATAGGTATAACCATCTTCGCTTAAACCTTCTACCCAAATGGTCTTCACTGCTGTCTAATGGGAGGAAAAAATGCAGCATAAACTGAAGATAACAATGATGGGTTATATATTGAATAACTAAGGGAGAGTCAAGCACCCTTTCCTTTCCTCTTAACACCTGGGAATTAGGAGCAGTAGGTACTGATCATGGCCAGAAGCTTGGTTACTGCTAATCACGAGCCAACTTTCGAGGAGGGAATGCCTCCTCTGAAAGCCAGGAACAATTCTTCCAAATTGCTAGGGACATATGAATGGCAACTAAGTGCAACCTAATATTTGCCCGCCATGGAGTATTTGGCTACATATCACTATTTCACCTTCACCCAGCCTCCTAGCAAAAGAATTACAAGAAAAAATAAAGTTTTGGGGGGAAGAAGGAGTGGGTAACGGTAAGTAAATCTGCTAAACAAAAATCTACAAAACTCCCAGAAGCCAGTTACTTTAAAGAATAATGCAAAAACACTATATTACCGTGCTTCAGTTACCTTTTTTAAGTTTCCTTCAAATCCTTCAGGTTTCTCCCACTGAGATGCTTAAAGCAAAAAAAATATTGCATTTATAAAATCTTTTTGCTTTAAAAAAAACTTTTAATAAAATTTAATTTGGCAAACATTTATAAGATAGTCACTGTGTACAAAACACAATAGATGCACAATTTAAAACATAATTGAAAAATAAAAAAGTAACAACATACGTTCTAGTAGTATTGTGCAGAGAATGTATGTGAGTGCTATGTAACCAAGAAGAAAGGACAGAATGAAGGAGGATGAGAAGTTACTGGAACTTCCACAGCAATTAACAGAGCCAGGAAGGGCTTCTCTTAACCACTTCAGTACATGCGTTGACTATAGCCAATAGCCACAGATGACTTTAGCCAACAGCTGTGATAAGACTTTTCTAATTTTTCATTTATCCAAATAAAATTGTGAACATTTAAAAATAACGTAATAAAAACATGTACGTATATGTTCCCTATTCTGATTTACATTACAAGTAAAGCTGCCTGTAAAGTAAAACAAGCTTTCCTCAACACACAAGAGCAAAACGGATTCGTCGTCAATGCAGTACAGACTATCCTGCGGACTATGAGTGCCAGCTGTGGGCAAGGTTTCCAGGCTGGTGAGCTCCGTAGTGAAGTAGTTCAAGACTTCATTGAATTCAGGCTAGATAAATTTCAAAGGAAGGAGATGGCCCTTTGACATCCTGGGGCACAGGAGAATGAGAGATGGATTGAATAATGACTCAGAAGAGGAAAAAGATGAAGTACGCAGAAATTAAAGACAAGTATTACTGAGAGCAAGAGCATTTAAAGTAGAATGTTGAACAATGAAAGCAAGTAATAAGCATTAGAAGGGAGAAAAGAAACAGTTTCTAAGTCAATCTGAAAGACTTCTAATTACCAGTACGTAATTAATTCATGGTATCCTCATTGCTGAACTATAATATGCATGTCACTTAAAGTTCAGTGCAAATAAAACTCTGAGAGATTAATATTTCTCTGTAGTCCAGAGCTGATTATGATTCTTAAGATAATAATTACAATATTGTTAGCCTAAGATTTCCTTCATGATTAACTTTCTGATCTTATCTTATTTCCTACCTTCCTAACCATTCTTAACTATTTTGCTGGCTTTTCTTCTATCCATTTCTTTAATGTATGTATTACCCACCCTCTTTACTTCTTGCTCTATTCTCTCAGCTTGTGATCTCATATACTCCTAAAGGTTTACATATTATCTATTGATACATCCCCAGACTCAATTTAGCCCTCCAACTCCAGACTATAATCATCAATTAGCTACTGATAATTGCCACATGAATATTCTATAGTGACCTCAAATTCAACGTATCCAAATTTGAATTAATTATTGTCCCCATTAAACTTATTTTTCGTTCCATACCTCAGTAAATGGCACCATCATTCTCTGAGCCCTCCAGAATATGGGCCCAATCTATTTTTCCAGCCTCATTCTGCCCCTACATCTTCAAACTCCTGGGCTCAAGTGATCCTACTGTCTCAGCCTCCCAAGTAATTGGGACTACAGGCATATGCCACCATGCCTGGCTTATTTTTTCTGTATATTTTTAGTTGTCCAGCTAATTTCTTTCTGTTTTTTTTAGTACAGACGGGGTCTTGCTCTAGCTCAGGCTGGTCCCGAACTCCTGAGCTCAATCAATCCACCCTCCTTGGCCTCCCAGAGTGCTAGGATCATAAGCGTGAGCCACAGCGCCTGGCCTGGTCTGTAACTTGAGCTCAAGCCATCCTCCCACCTTGGCATCCCAGAGTGCTAGGTGTGAGTTACTGCACCCAGCCTTTCAGAAAGTTTTATTGAGAAAGTATAAACTTATAGTTTATTTGTAAGGAATCCATTATTAAAGGCTTTGACTAAGTATGACACTGAGTGACTATGAGAAGGATACTTCTTTTTTAAAGGGCATATGATTTTCTCACTTTGTGGTAAAAATGAAAAGTTATAGTCTTTCATTGTTTAAAATGTTTCAATATTAAATAAAAATCCTAACACAAAACAAATTGCTCTATTCTACTAGTGAAACTGTAGTTTTATGCCTAAGTAACTTACCTCCTGAAATAAGATCATAATAGTAATGGTAACCCTCAGAGGTTATGCCTTCTACCCATCTTCCTTTTGGAGGATCTTTTTTTTTTTTCTTCTTTCCTTTCTGTTCTTTCTGTTGATTTGATGTAGAGGAAGGTGGAACAGTGCTGGTTACTGGTGATATGCTTGGTTCTGAAATTTCTAGAAAAGAGATGACAGAAGGGTGAAGTAGCCAAAGTAACTTTATTGGGAACTTAACATATTATTGTAAAATTAACTTGGAAAAATAACATGCAAAAATATACAGGAAAATTGTTAAAAAAAAAAAAAAAAAAAGGAGGAGGAGGAAAATTTACTTCTACCAGATCATTTTTTTAAAACAGAGTCTCGGCTGGGTGAGGTGGCTCACGCCTGTAATCCCAACACTCTGGGAGGCCGAGGCGGGCGGATTGCTCAAGGTCAGGAGTTCGAAACCAGCTTGAGCAAGAGCGAGACCCCGTCTCTACTATTAATAGAAAGAAATTAATTGGCCAACTAATATATAGAGAAAAAATTAGCCGGGCGTGGTGGCGCATGCCTGTAGTCCCAGCTACTTGGGAGGCTGAGGCAGGAGGATCGCTTGAGCCCAGGAGTTTGAGGTTGCTGTGAGCTAGGCTGATGCCACGGCACTCATTTTAGCCTGGGCAACAAAGCAAGACTCTGTCTCAAAAAAACAAAAAACGAAAAACAAAAAACAGAGTCTCACTCTGTCAACCTGGATAGAGTGCAGTGGCATCATTGTAGCTCACTGCAACCTCAAGGGATCCTCCTGCCTCAGCCTCCCAAGTAGCTGGGACCACAGGCACACGCCATGACTCCTGGCTAATTTTTCTATTTTTTGTAGAGACAGGTTGTCAGTCTTGCTCAGGCTGGTCTTAAACTCCTGAGCTCAAGCAATCCTGCCTTGGCCTCCCAGAGTGCTAGGATTATAGGCATGAGCCACTATGCCCCACCCTTACCAGATATTAAAACTTACTCTAAAACTATGGTTGAAAAAAAAAAACAATCCAGGTCAGCCATGGTGGCTGACACTTGTGCGCCTGTAATCTCAGCACTTTGGGAGGCTGAGGCAAGAGGATCATGTGAGGACAGGAGTTCAACAACAGCCAGGGCAACACAGCAAGACCCCCTCTCTTAAACGAACAAACAAAATAGCCGGGCATGGTGTTATGTGCCTGTAGTCCCAGGTAGTTGGGAGGCTGAGGTGGGAAGGTAGACTGAGCTCAGGAGTTTGAGGCTGTGGTGAGTTGTGGTCATGCCACTGCACTCCAGCCAGGGCAAAAGAGCAAAAGACCTTGCCTTTAAAAAAAAAAAAAATCTAGTATTGTGGAACTGATGCAGAAATAGACAAACGTATGACTAAAACAGAATAGTCCAGTTACAGAGCCATCTGCAGATTCCCAGTGTTTCTTATCAGAGGGAAAAGGATACATCATTTCAAAAAAAGATTTTGCAATATTTGGTTAATTATTTGGGGGAAAAAGTAAAGCTATTCCCCTTTCTCTACTCCCTTCCCACTTTCATACACCAATATAAATACCAGGTCAAAGACATTTATGAAAAGAACACAAAGTAAAATAATGTTAAATTTGACTACACAAAAACTAAAATATTCTATATGGCAAAAACAAAAAAATATATACAAGAAACAAAATAAAAAAATATTTAGAACAAATAAGCCAAAGGGTTAATATTCCTAACAAAGATTCCTTACAAATCAAACACTCTAACAGAGAAATGGGTAAAAATTATAAAGGCAATTCAGAGAATTAATGCTTATCTTTGCTAATATTCAAAGAAATAGAAATAATTATAATTTTTTTTTGAAGATCAGTAAGTACTAAAAAGAATAATCAAATCCAGAGTTAGTCTGACCAGGTATTCACATTGTGTGAAAAACGGGCAGGTTTTATGGCTCTGTGTGCCAAAGGATTGGCCAGTTATTCCCAACACCAGTTAATAAACTTATTTTATTTCTAGCGAAAGTGTAAATCAGTCTATTTCTGGAGAAAGCATGGTATTAGCTATCAATATATAAAATATATTCACTTTGATACTGTAATCTCATTTTTAGAAATTGAACCTACAGAGACAAATAAATGTGAAAAGATACATGCATAAGGATGTGCTCACTGTAGCATTCTTTATAACAGTGAAAACTCTAAGCAAGCTACATGATAACTAGGAAAAGACTAAATACAGTGTACAGATGAAATAATAATGGCTACTCTTTATTAAACACTTGTTATGGGTGGTCACTATAATAAGCAATTTATAACATAATGTTAGTTTTAGTAAAAATCTAAGAGGCAATGCTGTTTGACTCCGAAGTCTGTGCTCTTAACCATCATACAAAAATGATATATAGTCTTAATTATTTAGGTTTTTTGTTTGTTTGTTTGTTTGATACAGAGTCTCACTCTGTTGCCCGGGCTAGAGTGTCGTGGCATCAGCCTAGCTCACAGCAACCTCAGACTCCTGGGCTCAACCAATCCTCCTGCCTCAGCCTCCTGAGTAGCTGGGACTACAGGCATGCCCGGCTAATTGTCTCTATATATATTAGTTGGCCAATTAATTTCTTTCTATTTATAATAGAGACAGGGGTCTCACTCTTGCTCAGGCTGGTTTCGAAGTCCTGACCTTGAGTGATCCTCCCGCCTCGGCCTCCCATAGTGCTAGGATTATAGGCATGAGCCACCACGCCCAGCCTATATAGCCTTAATTATTTAAATGAAAAGATATATTTGACATATCACTGAGGGAAAAAAATAAAACAACCTCCAAATAGACCACAGCACAAAATATATAATTTTTAAAAATCTAAAGAAGCAGCCTGAAAAAAATCTTAATAGCAGTTAGTGAGCTTTTAAAAATTCTTTTCTTTGTACTGCACTGTTGTTCTTTTAAAGGAATATATATCCTATTTAGGAATACAAGGCTATGAATAATATCTAATAGGAAAATCCATTTACATATAAAATATTTAAATTATACTTAAAATATAATTTATAAATTTAAAATATAATTTATATAAAATATTTAAATTATGTTTCAATAAAAATATCTACTTAAATATAAAATGCTAAAATTTATTTTCTCTAAGGGCAGCATAAATGGAATCTCTCAATCCATATAATTGGTAAAAGTTGAACTTTTAACTACTCTTCTCTAATTCTCCAGGAATGCCTATATCTTTTTTCCTCTCAAAATGATCATATGGCTTTATCCTCATGGAACCAAACACCTTTCCCACCTTTTAACTACAATGTCCAGGATAATATTTTTAAAGTCTGGTTAGAACTGTTCTTATTTAATGAAGGCAATGCTAATTAACTTAACTGCTATTCTGCTCAAAACCTAAATCGAAAGCTGTTTTTATTAGAGAATAAAGAGTATCATTACATGTTGATTATCCCGACCACTATGGAAGATCGACAACTGAGATCTGTTATATGCTTGTCTTAAGGAAAATGGATTTGTCATGGAAGAAATGCTCACAGAAGTTTCCCAGCTTCAAGCCTAAATTTAAGGATAAAACAGATAACATTCTAGTTAAATTATGTCTTTTATTGGGAACTTCCTTATTTTCATATTCACTACATAGTCACCCATATAATAAACAAGACTCAAAGTTTTGACCATATGTATAAAGACAATCATAATTATAATGCAAGGCCTATTTTTTAATAGCATCTTTTAGCCAAATAATTAGAATACCTAAAAAACTCAAAGTGTCTCTGAAATTAACCACTCACCAAAGAGTGGGTAACCATGCGGGTAGTTATGGTTGCTGTGAATGAAGGTGTTAAAAGATAAGGCATTAAGGCTGGGCTGAGTGGCTCATGCCTGTAACCCTAGCACTTTGGGAGGCCGAGACCAGAGGATTGCTTGAGGCTAGGAGTTCGAGGCTAGCCTGAACAAGAGCGAGACCCTGTTCTCTACAAAAAATAGAAAAATCAGCCAGGTGTGGTGTTGCACACCTGTAGTTCCAGCTACTCAGGAGGCTGAGGCAGGAGGATCACTTGAGCCCATGAATTTAACAGAGCAAGACCCTGTCTGGAAAAAAAAAAGATAAAGAGCAAAGTGCATGAACAAAGTTCCACAATCTAAATAGGGCTATGAGCATAATAAACACACTGAGAATATACTGAGTTTATAACCTCTTTATGGTAACAATCAAAGCTTACTTAGCATGACCTCTGATGTTACTTTTAAAACATGCTGGCTGCCTTTTTACCTGACTCTAAGCCAAGCCTTTTCAAATCCTCTTGGTATGCTTTCAGGGCAGCTGCCTCCATTGCAGCAAACTCCTTTGATGCCTTTTCTTCTTCCTTTGCCTTATCCAGGCTTTTCTGTTTAATCTATGTGAGACACATATAAAAGTGAAAGTGAGAGAGATAAAGGACTGACATCTACATAGAAAACTTGGCAAAGAAACAATCTATATTACCTCACTGATCCTTTTTGCCACATTTTCCTTATGATTCTTTCCTCTTTCATGAAATTCGACACTCTTGAAAACGAAAAAAAGAGAAAATACAAAGGAAAACTATATAAACATCATAAAATTCATAATAATACAGTAAATATGGGAATGGGACATAAAAAATTGAAATTAAAATGACTGGCACAAAAGATAAAAATAGATTAATTTATTTGCAAATTGGCCCTTTTTATCAAATGATGCTAGGGAATCACATTGTTACAACACCCTCTGACTAGGATTCTTTTGTTTCTTAAACTATGATGGCCACATTAATAGAGAAAAAGACAAGGTACCTTTGATGACTAATCTAGTGAATATGATTGTAATGAGGACTCAAACAAGACACAAGGCCAAAAGAGGACTGGAAAAAACAATCATAAAAAACACCTCTCTGCCGGAGGTATAGTGGGTCACACTTGTAATCCTAGAATTTTAGGAGGCCTAGACATGAGGACTACTGGAACTGAGGAGTTGGAGACCAGCCTGAGCAAGAGCAAGACCCTGTCTCTACAAAAACACGAAAAAATTAGCCAGGCACGGTGGCGTGTGCCTGTAGCCCTGGCTACTTGGGAAGCTGAGGTAGGAGGATTGCTTGAGCCCTGGAGTTTGGGGTTGCAGTGAGCTACAATGATGCCACTGCACCCCAGCTAGGGCAAAAGAGTGAGACTGTGTCTCCAAAACAAAATAAAAAAAAAGAAACACCTTTCAACATCAAAATTAGTAAGCGTCTGGCATTTTATTGGTTTGTTTGCACATTAAATTAGAAACATTAAGAACAATGATCCATATTCCTCCAACTGGGAGAAAAGTAGATGTTTAAAAATTACTCATAAATGTATACAAACACTTTTATACAATGTAGTAATGGTATAAAATGTACATCTCCTGTGGAGGACAATTTGGTAATATCTATCAAAATTCCAAATACTTTTGCCCTTTAACCAAGCAATCCCATTTCTGGGAATATGTTCTATATATATATTTGGACATGTACAAAATGATGTTATATAGAAGGTTATTCACTGCAGCACGGTTTGCAATAACAATCCAAGTGTCCATCTATAGAGGACTGGTTAAATAAACTATGGTATATTCCTACAGGCTCCTGTAATAGAGAACAAAGAAACTCCCTATATATTCATAAGGAGAGAGCTTGAGGACGTATTGTTCAATTTTTTAAAACTATGATGCACGACAGTATATACAATTTTACCTTTTATGAATGTTGAATAAGAACCTATATCTATATACATGCAGAAACAATGGAAGGATAGACAAGAAAACGAAAAAAATGATAACCTATGGGGAGTGATGGTAACTGGATTAATGGGGACAGGGGTGGGTGAGTGGGCATTATTATCTAATTATACAACCAGAAATGCTACTAAATTACAAGTACCTGGTTGTATGCAATAAAGACATTCCTGGTTAGCTCTGCAAATAAGTTCTGTCAATCAAATCTTACATGATGCATTAACTGAGCTATTCTAAATACTCCTGTGAATTCCTCTTTAAAGCGTGACTTTGTAAAGCAAATAATCATCCTCTATTTTTCATATATTGAGTTTCTTAAAGTTGATTATACCACACAAAGAATATTAAAATCATTAGTATCATTCAAAATTAAATTAATTTTGTTTCTAATTAAAGGTTAAATCAATGTGTATTAGCAATTCAGTAGATACAGATAGTCTACACTGGAAGAGATTACTTATTCCAGATAACTCATAAAATTCATTTTACAGCTTGGGTACCTCCAAGGAAGAGATTTTCAGTGATTTGTGTGGTTTAAAATTCATGGTATTTATTTGAAAAGTTAGCCTAAGTCAAACAATATAGTCAAGAACTTTAGCAACTATCCAAAAAGAACAAAACAATGCATTAAAAAAACACCAAAACCACAAATACCTTGTAGATTACAGTAAATAAATGTCTACCAAAGAAATCCACAGCACTGTTAAATATGAAACTACTATGCTTTGTGTATCCAACTCTGCCAAGTAAAAAGGATATGAACATATAATAGATACCCTAGTGTTTATATAATAGGTACATAATGAAATGCAGGAGGGGGGGAAATCGGTGGTGGGCTTTTTGCTTTATGTCTTATAAAACTGGATCTAGAGTAATAACATACTTAACACAGTTGCTACTTCTGTATTTCATGACAGAGGGTATATTGATCTTTCAAAATTAAGCATCTAAAGATATAAAGCTCAACATCAAATACTTTAATTATTTCTAAAGCAAATACACACAAGAAAACCACAACAATGTTCATGTTTTTAGGACTTTACACTTTTACTTTTCTTTGTATATGACAGTATTACAAACAACAGCATTATAGTTTCATAAGCATGAATGAGATTACCTAGTCATTGTTCATTTCCTAAAAGACCATTGAGAAAGAATTTGGCTTAAAATATGATCAAATTTAGGTTGATGAAAAGGAAGAAGGCTCATAGCTTTCTTACAGGGAATAAGACAGAAATCTTTTGATGTTTTGAAAAATCAAGAGCAATGTATATAAAATTGCTTTGTAAATTCTGAGTTTACAACAAAAAGGAATACTGCACATGAACACAATATTATTAGACTAACAGCGGTAATTATCATACAGGCCTATTGTCTGCTATCCAGCACTTGCAGTAATCACAGAATTTCTTTGGTTGTGACTTCCAGTAGTCCGCCCTGAAAAAGGGAAAAACAAGTCTAAGCTTACTTAAAATTAACACGTAAAATTCTACAAGCTTTACATATTGAAATATATGCCCCTGCTACTGAATTTTGTCTTGTTATACACAGCTCCATGTTATATCACTTCAGTGGCTGAAGCAGTCAACCGAAATTCTGTCGCTAGGAGCATAAAGAAAGTCTGCACCGGATCTATTATAAAACTCCTTTAAATAAGACAGCTTCAAAAAAATTCTTTATTTGTTACTGTCACAGGCACGAAGAAATAAGAAACATGTCAGAGAAGAATATATTTATCCCCTCTGTGCCTTTCTGGCTTTTTTGGAGGTTGCTGTAATGGAGGCCAGAGGAAACTCATGTTTGCTTTTAATCAAGTTATTTCCACCAAAAGAACAAAGGACAAGACTACTCCGGGGAAGACAGTGGTTCCTCCAAGACTATCAGTTAATACAAGTTGTTCTTGAGCCTCAGGGCAAGATAGAGTTGGGAAAGCCAAGGCACCTCACAGAAAACAAAACAAGACAAAACAAAAAAATCCCAAATGAAGTCGTCATTACGCTATCCGGGGCTGGCCGCTTTTACTGGGCGGCGAAGGCAGCAGTGGCCGCAGCCCAAGCGCAAAGTTTCGCAATCCCCCCGGGCTCCGGGCGCTCCGGAACCGAAAAGGGCGCCCGCGACCCCCGACAGCGCAGTGCAGGGAGCGCGGCGTCGCGCCGTCGGCTGCCGTCGGAGCCGCCACCTCCACTGGCCGCCGGCCTCTCACCTCCGCCCTCCACGCCCCCAAAGCGCTCCGCGGGGTAGTATTTCCACCCCGCTCCGAGAACCGGCCCTGCCGGTCGGGCGCCGGTCCCGAGCGAGTTAAGAGCGCGTCCGTCACGCCCCCGGCCGAAGGGCGGGAGACTGGGGGAGGGAAGACTCGGGGGAGACAAGGCCGCCCAGAGAAACAACACCTCCTTGTTTAGGGCCTGCGACCCGACTCACATGACTGCGCCGGCCGCTCCGCGCGTAGTCCGGGGTCCAACTCAGACTCGCGCTCTCCAAGCGAGGCGAGCCAGGCCCGGCCCGCCGCGAGAACCACTCGAACTCCTTCCAAGGCTGGACGCCTCCCTCCTGCCCCGGACCGGCGTTCCACGGTTCCCCACTACGGGTGCCCGGACGACCCAATCCGCGTTCGAAATCGCCTCCTCGTCCCCTCCCCCTACAGGGGCGGTACTCCCGGCTCCTGAGAGGTGGGGTCGGTATAAAGGGGTTGAGGTCACTGGGAAGGGGCGAAAGCGCGACGGGACTTGAGCTGAAGTACGGACTTCAAACCTCAAGTCCCCGCGCCATCCCGCGCTCTCTCCTCCCCTGGGCTCCAGAACCTCCACTCTCCTTCTAGGCTCGCTGGCTTGTGGCCAAGGAGCTCGTGCGCCGCCTCCGCCCCGAACGCAAACAGCTGTTCCCAGAGACGTCGCCGCTCAACTTTGCCAACTAGTCCGCACGCACTTTGAACAGCGGAGCAACCTGGACCTGTGGGTTGGGGGCCGTTGGCGGAGTTTAAAGAGAAAGGTGAAACAGCGGGTTCCTGGGCTGCGAGTCTCTGGGGTTCGCCTCACAACTTTCCAGAGGCGGCGGAGCGGTCCCGCCCCACCTCTCCCCCGCGACGCCCGCGCGCTCAGACCCGGCTGGTTCCTTCACTCGGAGCGCGTGGGCAGCCGGGGCAGCGGCTTACCTGGCATAGAAGCGGTGGCGGCAGCGGCGGGAAGCGTAAGCAACACGGCAGCGGCGCTTACGTTTGTCAGGTGGGTCTCGGCGAGGTGTCTCACAGCACTTCCCATATGGTCTAGCGGTTAGGATTCCTGGTTTTCACCCAGGCGGCCCGGGTTCGACTCCCGGTATGGGAATGGTGTAGCTTTTTTTTTTTTTTAAATTTCAATGAATAAAAACCGATTTGTAGGACTGACTTATTGTTTTCAGTGTGCTGTCCGGGTGAGTTTGTGGGGGGAAAAAAAGCATTACAGTTGTTAGTGGCGCCGTGAGCTGGACTGCGGCTTTCGGAGCCAGCAATGAGTGCTGCGCCGTGCGTGGCGGAGGACCGGGCGCGCACGGAGTCCCTCTCCCGCCTCGCGCTCGCGGGGCTGGTCGGCCGGGAAGGAGTTTCACTTTCCCCGAGGCTGCTCCCCCGCCCCTCCGGCCCCTGGCCGTAGTTTTCCAGACGCTCGGAGGTGATGATTAACTCTGGCCTCGAGCATTATCTCCTCCCAGCGCCCCGCTTCGGCCCACACCCTCCTTGGCCGCCCTTTTCTAACTCGTCCCAAGAGATGCGGGGAGCGTTTGCCCCCGGCCCCGGGCGCTCCGGAGCCCGCGCGCTGGCCGGTGGTCCTTGTCATTATCTGTCTGTTCGGGGGGGGGGGGGTGTTTTCGGGACCTCCCCTACCTGACCCCCGGAACGCGGGGTGCCTCCCGTAGCCTCCCGGGGGGCGCGCGTTCCCGTCGGCGCAGCCGCCCGTCACCGCTTTCCGCCGCGTGCGCACCCGCGTCTCCACCCGCGCCCCCCGCGAGGTCATCCCAACTTGACATTCGGGGCGCTGGTCGCGGCCCCCAAAATACCCCAGACTCAGGAGAAGGCCTTTGGGGAGGAGAATCTTTTTTTTTTTCCCCTCTGGGTGTTAAAAAACACACGAGCTGTGGAGAAGAAAAATACCATTATGATGAGATGTCTTCAAAGAAGACAATTGATTTTTCCAAAGGGTCTAATGTTTTGAGCGCCGTTGATTTAAAAAAAACAAAAAACAAAAAAAACCCTCCTGGGGTGGAGGTGGGGCTTGGAAGAGAGAAAACTGGCTGGAGACTGGGGAGGGGATGTTATAACAAAGTTTCACTGTATTTTTAAATATAGAAGCCCTGTGTTTATTACAGAGAAGGGGCAGCTGTGTCAGCAGCATGCGGGCTGTAAGTGAAACAAAAGCGTTATCTTAAATGCAAGCTGAAATTAGAAAATAGGGTCAGCTATAATGTTTAGTCTATTGGGCCTCTGGGGACAAGTGAAGGAAAAAGTGACTCTTGTGGATACTAAAACAGAAGTTTTGGCTGTTAGTGTGTGTGTATGTTCCCATGCTATTTTATAGCGTTAACTGCACAGTAAATTTATTAATGATCTGCATGATTAAGGATTAATTGGCCTTACACTGTAAAAATAATAAAAATGCCTGCCACAACTAAAAGTATTTTAAGTCATCTTCATAAATTCAGATGTTTGAGTGTTTACTATGCTCCAGGTACCACCAGATAACCTTGGAAGTTACTGATGTTCAAGTTCTTCATGTTAATAGGTAGTAGATAGAATGGTATTTTGGCCTCTGTGATTAGCTGTGTGACCTTGTGGAGATCTTTCACCTTCTCTGTGCACTGGCTTTGGAGCTAGGAATTTTTGAAGGTGCATATATCACTCACAGTTGCAAGAATTGTTGAGCAGCTCTTGAATAGGTAATGACAGTGGAAAATTTTTGTTTAAATAAGGAGTATTGTGTTATTAGGAAACAGTTACTAAAGAATTACAGTCGTTCCAAATTTGAGAGGAATGAAAGACAGCTCTTCTTGTCCTGAGAGAAGGCTTAGTTTTTTCCTTGCATTTTGTAATGAGTTGGTATCATATCGTGCCAAATGGTGTTAAAATGGATGTTATTTTCAACTGTGCACTCAGTAATTGTTATAGTAGGGGGGTGAGTGGAAGGCAGTAGTGGGTCATCTCTGTGGAAGACACAAAATGACCTTATGTATAGTTGTGTATTAGGCATAAAATGGTAGGCCAACATCTAAGTGCTACTGGAGCCATCAGTTCTTACTTAGGCAAGGGGACTGGAGAAGAGATGTGGAAAGCAGAGTGTTTGCCCTGGATCTTGAAGAACTGGTTGGATTTCTCCTGGTGGGGAATGTGAATCATAAAGTTGTGGTGGGGGAACAAGTATGAGGCTGGCAAGTAGTCTGGTTTGGCAGGAGCACCAGAGTGTCTGGAGGGAGAGTCATGAGACATCAAGCTGGGAACTAGAAAGGAATTTTAACTTGATAAATTTTGACTAGGTAACAGGTTCTTTTATCAAGGAGTGACATTTTATGTCACTAGAGTTTTAAAAACATTTTTGTCTCTTAGAAGACCCAAATAGAGCAGTAATATGCGAAAAATTCTTGTTTAAAAAGTTTCAAACCATATAGCATACATGTAGAATATTTATGTTTAGGGGTTGAATATTAATTTTTAATTAATAGAATGGAGAAAAGCAATCAGTTAACTAGAATTCATAAGAATAAAATCTAGGTTCAAATTATGAGAATGATCTACAGCTATATTTTTATTGGCTTACTTTATAGAAAATGACTTTGGGCCAGGCATGGTGGCTCACACCTGTAATCTCAGCACTTTGGGTGGCTAAGACAGAAGGATTACCTGAGGCCAGGGGTTTGACACCAACCAGCCTAGGCAACATGGTGAGACTCTGTCTCTAAAAAAAAAAAATTAAAAAAAAATAAGCCAGGTATGTTGGCATGTACCTGTAGTCTCAGCTACTTGGGAGGCTGAAGCAGGAGGGTCACTTTAGCCCAGGAGTTCAAGGCTGTAGTGAACTATAGTAGTGCCACTGTACATACGCCAGCCTCAGTGACAGAGTGAGACCACATCTCAAAAAAAAAAAAAAGAAAGAAAAAAGAAATGATTTTGATATTCTAAGATAGAACTGCTAATTAATGTCAATAAAGCATAAACTGTAAATTGGTTAAGGCAAATTTGTGAGGATTCATTCTTATGATTGTGTCTTGTTACCAAAATACCATTGGCAGTCATATTTTAGTTGTTCTCTCTTGGGCCACAAAATAGTGACACTAATTGAAAGCTGTGGAATTACCCAAATAGTCCCTTTGCTAACTTTAGGTGTAATCAGAAGATATATGAAAGTTCAATACATGTTTGCAGAGATAAACACTTGTGTTTAAAGAAATAGAAGGGATTGAAAAATGATTCTAGAATTTTAGATAAAATCCAAGCATGTTGGTAAAATCCAAAGTGTCTGAGGCCCAACATGATCTGGCCTCTGCTTACTTTCCGAACTTCATCTCCTACCCTTCTTTACCTCTTCCTTATACTTAAGCCACCACATTATACTGCCTTTTTGCTCCTTGAGCACGCCAAACTTATTCTTGTCTCAGTGTTTTATTACTTACTCTTTCCTCTGTCTGGAATTTTCCCCCTCTAGGTCTTCATGTCTCAGGTCAACGTTACCTACTCAGAGAAGTCTTTTTGACAACCCTACTCAGAGACTCCCTCTTCCTTGGTTACTCTCTTGTTACTTTACAGTTTTTTCTTCATTTTCTTACTATCTGAAATTAACCTGTTTATTTCTTATTCCATCAGAATATAAGTTCCATGAGAGTAAGGATATTGTATAGTGAGAATTTCTTGTTCTATAAAATTCAAACAATAGTGAAGAAGTTAGAATGTTCATACATTACTGGTGGAAATATGAAATAATGCAGTCCCTATGATGCGGTCACTTTGTAAAACAATTTGGCAGTGCCTCGAAATGTTAAACAGTTACCCTATGACCCAGCATTTCCACTCCTAGGTATATACCCAGCAGAAATGAAAACATAGTCCCACACTAAAACTTGTACACAGATGTTTATAGCAGCATTATTCATAAGCAAAAAGTGGAAACAACTCAAATGTCTATCAACTGATGACTAAGTAAAATATAGTGTATCCACACAATGGAGTATTATTTGGCAATAAAAAGGAATGAAGAACTGCTACATGTGACCACGTGAATGAATCTCAAAAACATTATGCTAAGTGAAAATAGCAACCGCATTTTGTATAATTCCATTTATATGAAAAGTCTTAAATAGGCAAATCTATAGAGAAAGAGGATAGATTAGTGGTTGCTTCAGAATAGAGGGTTAAGGAGGTTTATGGGAGGTGACTGCTAATGTGGGGGTACATTTAGAGTGGTTAAATGTCCTAAAATTAGATTATGGTGATGGTTGTACAACTCCATAAATAAACTAAAAAACATTGAATTGTACACTTTAAGTGGGTGAACTTTATGTGGTATGTAAGTTATATCTCAACCAAACTCAAAAGGGATTGAAGCAATAAAAAGCATATATTTTATATAAAATATACTTGTATATATTTTATATAAAATATTTTATTTGTATATTCTATATTTAATTGAGTATATCTTATCTCAATTTTACATTTATCACTTGGAAAATAATAATAATAATAGTGGAATAATTCAACAGTGAAACTCTAGCTCCTAGATAGTTTCAGGAATGTAGCAAGTGCTCAGAGAATAACTGATGAAGAAGGTTAGATAAGTATACAGATAATGATGATAGTATGCATAGTGTGGTGAATGCTCAGAGGGGAATAAAGCCAAGGGTCATAATTGTTCTAAAATCCGTCTGAGTTTGTGTGAGGAGATGGGCTCTGAAGGCTGGTTAGGCTTTTGCTGGTAGAGATGGGGGAGGGGGACAAGGCCTTTTAGGGAAGCAAAGGGGAGCAGAGGCACATTAACAGCTGCTGGCACATTTTAGTGGCACTGAGAGTACAGGTAGGATAGGAAAGGGAAATAAAATTGCAAAAATAGATTAGATTCAATAGGGGAC